CCGAAAGTGGCGTACAGAACAGTACATGGTTAGGAGTTCCCTACCAAATGCACAGTATCCTATTTCCACATAAGGCCGCCTCGAGAAAAAGGCCAACGGTTGCTGCTGGTTGTCAGTCAACTGTTGTAAAACCGTTCCGATTGCTGAGTCACATGCATCAACAGCAACACTCAAAGGTGTATTGGGGTCACGGTGCATAAACATGGTTGCGTTCGAAATGGCTTCCTTGACTTTGGAGAAAGCAAGTCTAGCCACGTTGTCCAGAATCACGAACTTCGTAGTTCCTCGAAGTAGATCTGTTAGTGGTCTCATAACAAGGGCACAGTTAGGAATAAACCTTCGGTAATAACTTACCAGGCCACTGAAGGTGTGGGGATGTTTCACAGTGGTCGGCCCTGGATAGTTCGTGATAGCCGCCACTTCATCTCTCAATGGGCGTATATCTTTGTTGTCAATGGTATGCCCAAGGAAGCTGAGTGATTCAACTCCCACTTCACACTTCTGTAAGTTGACTGTGATGCCATGTTTCTGTTGTCTTTCGAATGCGAGGTCCAAATGTTTGAGGTAAGTTTCCTTATCTGGACTCGCAATAAGACAGTCATCCATGTGGACGTTGACAAAATCTAAAACATGGAAGACATCATCCGTGAAGCGTTGGGATGTTTGTGCTGCATTCCGAAAACCGAATAGCATGCGCGGGGATTCAAACAGGCCAAAGGGAGCAATGATGGCTGTTTCCGCGATATCTTCTGCTGCCATAGGCATTTGATTGTACTCTTTGACCAGATCGATTTTGGCCAAAATATTCATTCCCCATAAGGTTGCAGTCAAATCGTAAACGTGAGGTATAGGGTAGCAGTCCGGTGTTGGTTTGGAGTTAAGCCTTCGGTAATCACCGGTTGGACACCAATCGCTGCTATCCCTTTTGGGAACCATGTGCAGTGGTGAATGTCGTCCAACGCTACAAGCCCACCCCCTCCTCCATTCGACCTTTCACTCACTTTCTCTCCGTAGTACATCCGCATTACCTGCTAATTATTCGCCAGAAAATAAACCTGCGCTATCCACTTTTGCCTTTCGTGCAACTCCCAGATACTTTTTTCTTCTTCTTTTCTTTCTTTCCTTACCACTACCCTACTATTCTCATTCAGGTACTTACACCGACACGAGTTACAACAGTCCCCTAACCTGCCCAGCAACCGGTTGCGCTCTAATCACTCTACAAATTGCAACTTACTAACCCACATAACGTCCACCATACCGAGCCTAATGAGCAAGAAAGCAGAGGGGATTTCCTCACTGACTGCAGGAGTGAACCGAACTTCTTGAACCGAACCCTACTAACCAGACGTGAGAAATCAAAAACTATCAGCTGTCTAAGCTTGCACCAACAATATTGGATAGTAACTTTGTAGAACCCCGGAGGGGAATCATGGGATACCGTACTCGCTGGTGAAACAGTAGAGTAACAGTTCACTATGTTTACAGGACCCTATTAGTTTGGAGATTCTCTGTTCCAACTCCGAGGTCGCAAACCTACTAGCTCATGAGTTCCAAAACAACTGTCATTCGGGAGACAAAACCCTGCCTCTGTCGGACACCCGTATCACAGAAGGACTAAATGATAAAGTTTAAACCCTCTGTAGTTATGGAAATATTAAAGAAACTGAACCTGAATGAGTCTCCAGGAATCGATGGTATTCACCCAAGGGCACTCAAGAAGTGTGCTGAAGTTCTGTGTGCCCCACTAGCAAATCTCTTCAAATGCTCGTTTCTGGAAGGCAGGTTACCCTCTGATTGGAAACGGGTGGCTGTCGTCCCAATTTACACAGGTGGAAACAAACTACTCGCCACCAACTACACACCAATCTCCCTGATCTCTCCAGTTGCGAGGGTCGTGGAGAGAGTCATAAATGACTCACTTCGTGATCAGAAATCAATCCTAAACGACTGTCAGCATGGCTTTCTACCAGGAAGGTCATGTAACACCAACTTGTTGATAGCTTGGAATAGCTGGACACTCTCTGTCGAGAAGAAAAAGCCTATACACATTGATCATGATGTGCCACACCACCCATAATCCCCTCCATCACAACAGATCCCTTCAAAGCTTTAGTCGGAAATGCAACTTGAGGAGTCACCCGTTAAGAATAGAGCATGAGAGAGCACGTACAAAGATCCGTGCTAACTCATTTGCAGTTAGAGTCTCTAAACTGTGGAATTCCCTCTCTTCAGCAATTGTTACAGCCCAATCCCCTGATACCTTTAAAAGGAGGCTAGACGCACACCTCGAGTCCTGTGGTACCGATGGGCTATACTCCAGAAGCTTTCGCCAGATCAGGTCCAGTAATACTAACTTGAGACCAGATTAATTAATTAATCGTATCTCTATCCTTTCAGGTTTTTCAGAACTGCGAAGATAATTGTGACCATCCGAACTCAGAACGTATTCCAATAAGGCAGACGTAGAACCCAAGGAACCGCAGTTCACTAATTCTACAACACGAAGTTTGAAGTTTGAAGAGGGCTGTTTGGTACGTGCGTTACTTTACATCTAGCTACAACTTGTCGGCTTGTCAGGTTTTATTTTGTCGAGCACGTATTTCTTCCGTATGGGGCGCTTCCTTACCGTGCAATAGTATGTTCAGGACTATACCTATATTTGTTTTCGTCATATTTTTAAAGCTTTATGATCTTATGACTTTGAACAGCGCGCTCCTTGAATAGTGATGTGTTTTGCCTCATCTCCATCCATCTCGAAGAGTCCACATTTACAACTATCCACCAGGAGCTTTCAACTCCTCATTCAACGTTTCTGCAAAAATCTTGCTGCAGAAAATATCACTGCTTACTTCATCACCACTATTACGCTCCAAACGGACAACTGTGTGGTAGGTCTAGCTGTCTCGACCAACTGTTATAGCTCAGATTGCTGTATCTGCAGCAAAATATATCTCACTAACATCTGCGTCCAGGACTTGGTAGTTTTTGAACTTCGACAGAGTCGCAGGAACAGACAATTGAAGGTAAGGTCGAAAGTCTTCTGTTTACTGCTGTGCATTTTCATTGCTCTACTCCTTTTATCTTCATCTGTTTATTAATATTAATATGCGTGGTAAAAGTGTGCTGACCCCGAAAAAGGCAAGCGGTAGAAATGCTTTGAGTACAATCTCGCCACAGTTACTGACCACCTCATTCTCAGTAGTTACTAGGGCTGGAGCTACGAGACGCCAAAGCGTGGCAAAGAAAGCAACTGAGGATACGAACGCACCACCCAAGTCCACCTCTCCCGGTCGGTCACAATCACGGCTTGCAACACTTGAAGTTAGCCGTGCAACCAGTCCTCCCGGCACTGTAAACGTCACTTTACCTAGTCAAGTAAACCCAGAGCCCCATGCTACTCTCTGCGCCCACCCCGATCCCCCAGTGAGAACCACTAGGCAGAAACGTCAAAGAGTAGGGCATAAACGTTTGGGAAAACCGCATGGACATGATGACAACTGCCACACATGTGCTCTCACTGTCACTAAAAGTGATGCTGCCTTCGAGTGCAACAGATGGGTGCACTGCCGATGTGACAAAGAAGTGCTACATCAGTACTATAGCTTTATGACGCGTCACCCGTGCACGTGGTTTTGGTACATTTGCCCACAGTGCCGTCTGAGACCGCACCTAGCTTCAGGCTTACTCAGAGTAACCGATAAATCTCCAGTAATCAAAAAGCAGGTATCCGTCCAAACCACTGTCACAGAGGATATTCACTCTCCAGATGATTTTGGCAATGGCCTACTGAAGGCCGAAAACCTGAGAGGTTCTAAGCCGAACAAAACACTGCCTACACCAACGACAACTGCATCCACCTCAAGCCATACAGTCACATCAGAAACAGCAACCAGTGGACAACATAGAGAATGGGTCAGGGTGGAAAAAAACTCGAAGCACCCGTGAAAAGCATCTATAGGATCGAATAATATTGGCATCACTGACCGACCTAGCTCTGTCATTCTGTTTAACGTTCCCGTCTGTGATGATAGCCTTCTGGAACATAAGGACAAGTTTGACAGGCAGCAGTGGGACTCCCTCTGTGCCACGCTAGGTCTGGGCGTTCTCGAGGCAAAACTGTGTCGACTATACAAAGGCACCCACTCACCCGCAAGGAAGCCTCCGCCGATGAGAGTGACTCTAGTCTCAACTAGAGACGCTGAAAAGTTCCCCTTACTGTCACACACCCTGGTCATCAACAGATCGTCCAACATTAGAGCCAGACCTGACCGATCATGGGTGTCAAGAAAGACATCTCGAGAAGCAGCTGGTCCACTAAAACCCACAACCATGGTCGTACATGGAATACCTGAAATGGTGACCGGTACCCCAGGTGAGAAGTACACACACGACGTCAAACAATAGGAGTGGTTATCGGCTCGGATGGAGCTGAGCGGGGTTGCAGCTGCGACAATTAGCAGACTACCACGCCCCCTGCATCTGACAACCATGACCTCACCTAGACTAATGGCTGTCAACTTCGAATCCCCAGAAGTACTCACCAGAGTGCTGGAGACGTGGTACAAAGTCAAGAGCACCATAAGCGGTAACGTTCGCTGCTGTGAAAGCAGACCGAGAACACTGCGACAACAACAGACAGCAGTTACGCCCTGTGCTCAGGCCACCGTAACCCTAAACCGAAACGTTGAGAGTCAGACCAGCAACCTCCACTCAACACCGAATGCACCAGTCGACGAGGGAAAAAACTTAACTGGGCCAGTTCCACTGGAACTAGTTAACTCAGAGACATCTCACGTTACGAGAAACACCTCCAAGTGTCTCTACAGCAACGTGAGAGGACTCCGAAGTAAAATGCCAGAGCTCCGATCCCTCTGTCTCGACCTCGCCCCGAAAATCATGATCCTGACAGAAACGTGGTTGTCACCAGACATAATTGACACCGAAGTTAACATAGATGATATGATTCTGTTCAGGAGAGACAGGGAACATAGGGCAGAGGGGGGGGGGTTGCAATATACGTGAACAAGTGGTTCAGAAGTGAACAAACCACTGACACGGCACTGACAGAGCTCCCAGACTCTATCTGGTGCCACTTCACGGTCAAACACACCAAATTCCTAGTTGGAGGAATCTATAGGTCCCCTAATAGCAACTTGGAACACAACCAAAAACTACTCCAAGCAATATCCACAGTGTCAACTATAGGGTACGACCAGATTTTAATAGCTGGCGACTTCAACGCTCCAACCCTCAGCCTAGAGCAAGGTGGCACTACCCCGAGCCGGAAGTTCGACTGTAACCTGCTAAACGCCATCCAAATGGCTGGACTGCAGGAAAAAATCAGCGACAACACCCGCTGGGGGTCAGATGGTAAACCATCTAGACTGGATTACCTACTGACTAGTGATCCCCTTCTGGTTGAAAACGTTCAGGTACAAACCCCTCTTGGAAGTAGCGATCACGCTACGGTAATGTTCGACCTGGTAATTAGTGAAGAGCTATCATGGGAGGGACCTCGCCCTTACCTATGTTACAACAAGGCAAATTACGAAGGTATGAACAAGAGCCTTTCAACAGCTTCGTGGCCAGTGGATTGGTGTTCCTTATCGATCGACCAGCACTGGGAACTGGTAAAAGATATCATTAAGGCGGCCGTCTCACAAAACGTCCCTTTGGCGGTAACAACCAGAAAGCGAACGTCATGGCTAAAACGGGGCACTGAGCGCCTTCTAAAAGCCAAGAGAAGGGCATGGCACACATGGAGACTCTCCAGAGAACAGGACGACCATGACGCATACATGACTCTACGGAATCGAAGCAACATAAGGGTGCGGGGAGACAGGAGGTCGTTCCAGTCCAACCTCGCCAAAAGGCTTGAGGTAAACCCTAAAAACCTTTACCGATTCATGGCAAAAAGAAAATCGACAAGCCAAGGAGCATGTGTCATAAAAGGTCCGAACGGAGAAAACCTCTCTGGACAGGAGATTGCTGAAATGCTGAGCACCACATTTGACACACAGCTCAACATTCCATCAAGAAAGTGCGCATACCAATTGCACGAACAGCCCCAACGTTACCCGATGCTACTGAGTTACACGAAATACAGATAACTCGCGCTGTTGTTCTCGACAAGCTTTTAAAGTTAAGCGCGGGAAAATCCCCAGGGTGCGACGACATTCGCCCATCTGTGTTGAAAGAATGTGCAAGTACCCTAAGTGGCCCACTCTGCAACCTCTTCCAACACTCCTTGGATGAGCGAAAGCTCCCACGAGAGTGGAAACGGGCTATCCTTTCTCCCATCTTCAAAGGAGGAGACAGACAGAATCCCAACTGTTATAGACCCATAGCACTTCTACCAGTAATATCAAAAGTAATGGAAAGTGTGATGGACGACCGTATCAGAGAATATCTGGACACCAAGCGGGCACTCAGTGACGCTCAACATGGCTTCCGGAAGGGTAGGTCCTGTGCCTCCAACCTCCTGACGGCCCATGATCACTGGACAGCATGCTGGGATCTCAAGGTCCCTGTCCACGTAATTTTTCTGGACTTCGCCAAAGCCTTTGACACCGTCTCACACCATATCCTAATACATAAGATAGCTGGGTTAGGTATTCGCAGCCAGGTGCTATCGTGGCTGCAGAACTACTTAGACAACAGGGAGTTCTGCACGAAAGTCAACAGGGTCTACTCAACTTGGAGAACATCCTCATCCGGTGTCTCACAAGGAGCAATCTTGGGCCACTGTTGTTCCTACTGTTCGTAAATGACTTGCCGCAACATATCAGCTCCCCGATTCTCCTATACGCTGATGATGTCAAGTTATGGAGGGCAATAACTTGCGAGGCGGAATCTATGGCATTACAGAAGGACCTCAGAACACTAGAGGAATGGGGAACTAATAACGAACTGGCATTTAATCTGGATAAGTGCCGGTCCATGTTTTTCCGCACTCCTGATCCCCAGAAAACATCCTACTATCTCTGTGGTTCACGTCTATCCCATACCACAGTAGAAAAAGACCTGGGTCTAACGGTGACGGAGAAACTGGACACCAGTTCCAATTACCCAGGTGATGTCTCAAAAGCATATGGGGTACTACACTTTGTGCGTAGACAACTGGGTGCCCTCACCCCAGAACTCTTTCTGAAGCTCTACAAGACTTACATACGGCCCCACTTAGAGGTCCATAACGTCTTCGCTCCACCACAGCTGAAAAGAGGCGCGAACTTACTGGAGAAAGTCCAGAGGCGAGCCACAAAAAGGGTTGTTGGAATGCAACGAAAACCATATGAGGATAGACTCAAAGACCTAGGTCTATACTCCCTTAGCTATCGAAGGATACGTGGCGACTTAATAATGGCTTACAAAATAATGAGTAACCCAAGTCACCCAAACAGAGGAGTCCTACCGAGTGGCCACTACGGAGATCCTCGAGGAAACCCCAATAGAATAGCACACCAGAGGTCAAAAACGCATGTGCGTTCACAGTTCTTCTCCCTCCGAGTCTGTGGGTACTGGAACGCACTACCAGCAGAGGTGGTCTCCGCCCCAACTGTTGAAAGCTTCAAGAAGAGGCTAGACAGTCATGCAGAGACTCACGGTCTACCCACGCATAGCTGGAACACGAAGTGATGTCAAGCCACCCCAACCAGTTTTCTTTCTATTGTAACCATTTAAGCCCTTTTCACCCCTTCCACTTGCCATAAGTTAGCCTCACTTACCTAAGTTCTTCATACCTTTGCACCCCTACTCACCTTACTTGGGTGTAAGTAGATTACTCCATTAGTTCACTTTTCCTCTTTTCTTTTACTCACACAAACACTTTCTAGGTTTTCTCTTCACTATCCCCAACCCTCTCTAGCGACCAGTCCTAACAACTGTCTGGCAACTCGACATCTGAAGAAGCCAACTGCACCACAGTCCAAGGCAAACAAACCAACACTTAACTTCCTGTTCTGTAAATCAGAGCTATAGCAGACGAGTGGCTGGACCTACTGCATCGGAATCCGCCAAAGATCTGGAGCCGTTCCGCAAGACCAAGAAGCGAGCGCGAAGAAATCAACTGGTTTACACAAGCTCGTTAAAAAGATATTGGATCTAAAGTGGTTATGACTTTTTCATGCCTTTGAAAACCTAAGCTTGTTTTATCTGGAACAAATCTGAAGCTTATTGCTAAACCTAGCGTTCCAGGTTAAGTTTGATGCCTTACTACTTCACCGAGTTCTCAGGGTGTTTTCATGAAGACGTTGATCAGCGTTTTTTTAAGCGAGAAACACTAGTGTGGCCTTTTACTGTATGTTACAAATGACGTTCATACACGTTCCTGGTATTCCATAGCACAAAATAGTGGGGCTTTTGGAGTGATCACTTGTCAGGCCAGTCTCCAGTGGCGTAGATTTGTCACCAGTGTTATTTATTGCAACTCAATCCATCGGATTGATGACACATAAACAACTTAAGTAAATACTAGTGTTGTTCAATCTTATAGTGCTGTAGCGCATGTAATATAGTTTGGGTTGAATTGTCCTCGCCAGTATCTGGTAATATGCATGACAGGTCAGTCCTGACTTACGGAGAAAACTTTGATGTAGTGTCTCTAGAGATCCATATCTCGATTCGACCGAAGGTTCTTTGTTGTCAGAACCGTTTACATTTAACTCTGATGACATAAATTTGCTGTCCTCCTACCCTCCAGGGAGTAGTGACCAAGCTGTGCTGTCCACCATGTTTAGTTTGTGGTCCAAATCCAGGCTTAACTTTGTCCGAATGTTTGGCGTGCGAAAATTTAGCTATTCAGGTGCGTGCAACATTTGTGAACTGGTCAGTTAATCCTGACTCGTCGATTGATGGTAAATGGATCAAGAATGCAATGAAGTTCGAAGCATTTACATCTTCAGTCAGGTAGTAGAGTTTTGCATATATTTGTTGCCCATGTTTGGTGTTTATTCGGTAAAGATTCAGTTATCGATTTCTCTTTCCGACTCATTAAGCCAGTTTTAAAGACTGTAATTCTATGTCAGCCTGTTGTGTAGCTGTGTGTACTTGCATGCGTAACTATAGCCGGACTTTCTTCTACGTTTCTCACCGTACTAGAGTTAATCGATCTTGATTTGGCTAAGATTTTGTGCTTGGGCACCCTAATTGACCCGAGTCAACTAATTTAGCTTACATATTTGACCTAGCAGTCATCGCAATGGATTTAGTAAACTAAATTATTTACCTCGTTGAACCAACATGGTCTTGTTTCTAAGATAATACAGATTTAAGTGCCACTCTAATTCCAGCCTTACTGATAATCCTACGCAGTGTTCCAAGTGCCTTCCTTGTACGCTGACACTAATGGTTTGAATTCTCTCTTCATAGTGACGCCATTATTATCATTACTATTATTAGTATTGTTGCAACTATTAGTCGCATTTCGCTTAAAATTACTGGTGAGTTTATTGATTAATTCAGGGGGGTTTTTCTTGTGAGTTAGGTGTCCTTGGTGTATCTGATTTCTTATCCCTTACTAGTGTTTTTTTGGCCCTTTTACTTAGGACTTATACTAAGCCTTCTTTATTTAACCTAAGTTTAGATGATTTGAGGCCTAAGTAACTATTCAGATGTAGTTCCCGGTAGTCTCTAGTGTCTAAACTGTTACTTTATTTTCGTTTCCCCCTGCGACCCAGCGTACCTAGACCTCTTTTACTATTTTATAATTCATAAGAAAGTTGAATTACGTTCATTACTGAATTTGTGTGCAGAACCTATATGCTCCATTTTCAGTACTGTTGATGTGTTTTCGACATATCTAAATATTTCTACGGTAATAGGCACTATTGGATGATCCATGACTTGTTTGTTTCCATGTTTTATTCTGAAACGTAAAGACTGCAAAGTTTAGCGTACTAGTACTTGTAGTATGGTATCTCCAACTGATAACTTAGTTCGAAGTGTAATCTCACGGTCATCATTAAATTCATTTCTAACTACTTCTGGAGTCATATCAGTCAGTATTATTATGCTGAATAACCATTTTCTCACTGTCATCTAAATGTAAACCATCTAACTTATGTTTGTACGTTTGCATTCATCTAATAAATCAAACTAAGTGGAACTACCTTCTACCATAGTCCCCAAGTTTTACTTTTATGTTGATGCGGTTCCATCTGTTGTAGTCCATCAGACGATACTCCATAAACCAAAGGTTGTCCCTTATGTATCGATAGACAGTTTAAAAAACTTTTCATATCTACTGGTTCAAAACAGTGTAGAATCAGTTGTAACTAAAAATCCTCACAAGACCCTGGTCAAAAAATGTAAGAAATACGAATAGAAACTTGTTTTGGATTCTCAAGGAAACTCGAAGAAGCGGTGCCATACCAAGACTACACACTAATAACGGTCCAGTAGAAGAGGCAGAAGATGATTATTCTGTAGTTGAAGTAGTCATATTACTGTTTTCTAATATTCTCAGAATAACGCACTGCACTATTACTAGTCCGTTAAGTTTCAGCTCGTATTTTTGTTTTTATATGTTTCTACAACTAGTAAATCACTTGTGGTTAACCAAAGTTTGAACACTCCTACAATGTACACCGAATCCTATGTCTGGCTCGCACACAGACTTTTGTAACGATCGATAATTTGCTGGTTGTTTTTAAAAGCACTGTTGTTGCTTTTAGTTGTCCATGAATCTACCGAATTCTATCTTGGAAAATATTTTTATTTACTTGGATTGGAATGAGCGTTCTCGTGCAGCCCGTGTATGTAGGAAGTGGTATTCTGTATTTCAGTCTCCCTCTTTATGGAGGAATATTGTGTTTAAACCACCATCTCGCCGGTTGACTAAGCTCCAATATGACCTTAAAGGTTATCGCCTGTCGTGGTGAGTCATGTTTACACTTTTACTTATGTTCTGAATTGTTCTGTTTGATTAGTGATATCAGTGGGGGTTGTATTTGGTTTTGATTTCCATTCAGTGTTGTTTGATACATCAGTTTTTATTCATTTCTAGCCGCTACACATCATATCTGGTCTGTGTAAGCAAACTTATCATCAGTTTTTGACCTTAAGTTGATGTATAGTATGAGATCTTACACCAGTATTAGGTAATGTCTCGCATAATCCTATTTAATTACGATGAAGAGGGTTTAAATCTTCTTTACACTTGAACTAAATAGAAGTTGTGATTGTTTTCTGTTTGACTAAGCAGGGGAAGAGCCGCATTTGTCAAAAGAATTTCAATTTTTATTTATTAATGGATCCATGTGACTTGAGCATGTCGTTCTTCTTCGCGAAACAAGAGCAACATCGGATTCGACAAATTTGACATGGACCTCATGCAAAACCATCCTAATTGGTTTTGGATTTACTGAACGTTTTATCGTTATTTTGAGTACTTGTGGAGGAAGATTATCGAAACCTAGTATCCTGAAGGATTTCGAGTTTACGACGTGTTTTGCGAATTGAGTAAAAATGAAAAGACTAGCATCAGTATCTTATTCAGGTACTAAAAATGAATGATGGATGGGTGGAGTGGAGCTGACCATCAGTTCACCTCCTTATGCTGTTGGTGTAACAATGATATGCTTTGGAGACGAGTTCAGCGAAGATATCCTTTGCAGTCATTTCATTCTATGCAGCTATGTAATCGCAATTTATGTTTTCGTTCCACTACGTTAAATGCCTACTAGCATCATTTGATTAAACCTAGTAACAAAGATCAGGTTAAATGACAATAAATAATTCACAAGTGTGATGTAAAGTAAAATTAATCGCAAAAGATTGTAGAAACTGGTAATTAACAGGATAGAATATAAAGATGCATAATACGTAAAAAAACTTTGATGATAAAGCGTGATCGAGGGTGGCAGAGAAACAATGATATGCTTCACCGCTTATGATATTCCCAATCATCATACACTTTAAGGTTAACTTCTTCAGAAGACTTAGACAGAAATATCTCACTACCAGACGTCGCTACCTTTTCCGTCTATTTCGCTTCTACTACTTGACGTCGTTGTGAAAATTCTCTGGCAATTCACCTTTCAGTTGATTTAGATTCTCATTATCCTTAGTGTCAGGCCAATATGAATTCTCACGAATCAGTTGGGATTTAGCTATTGAAACCTCATAGTTTTTATCACTTTTCGATTCCAGTTTGCTGACAATCTATGTAACAAAAAAGAAGATAATCTGAATTATATAGACACTGTAGTTTAACGACAACTACCATTTACTTTTTGAATACATGCTTGATACTATCACCGTTAGACTGAGCATGGGCGAAACTGACGTATTTGCTTTTCTTGTATTTATCTCTACACAGAAGAATGCTCGAATCTTGTATAAGAGATACTTCCGAACGACTCTGCATACCTTGGACTTCCTGGCATGACTTGATGGTTCTTCCCGTAAAGTTTTAAGGAAGGAGGTAGAAAGTTAGTGAGTTGAGTAACGGAGGTACCACGTAGTCTATGGGAGGTAGTCCTGATAGACTGGTATAGGTCTCTGATCATCAGTCTATAAGAAAGGAGAGTAGTCTTGTAAAAATCAGGGGGGGGGGGGGTTAGTTTAACTAACATCATGTCCAAAATCCTAGGGTACATGGTTATCCGATGCCTAAGTGGAGCTCGAGTACAACCAAGTCAAAAAAAACCGAACAGAGTTCAGGTGTGGAGGAGGGTGAGTCAGTTATATCTCCGCCCTTCGACAGGTTCTAGAAGATACGAAAAGCCTGCAGGTGTTTGACAACAGGTGCCTTCACATCATTGCTCGTGTATGGTGGAATCAGCACATGATCGATGTTGAGTTCAGGTGAATGGTACTATACCAGAAAGCTAAGTCATTCGATGAGCTTGTGCACCTTCAGCTACTGAGGTGGCTTGGACATGTACTACGTATCCCGAGCCACCGCCTACCTCGACATGCATTGCTAGGAGAAGCTGGATTAGGTTGGGAAAGGGTTCAGGGTGACTAGACCAAGACGTGGCACCAATCCATGAAGTCCCTGAGTGTCGGTCTGATTCGTGCGGGGAGATGTGAACTACCTAGATGTGAGGTGTGCGCGAAACGGTAAGGATCAGTGGTTGAGAATGCTTGGTGAGATGACTGAAAATCGGTCACAGTGGCACTGATGTATTCACTCTTTGATGTCTTCTAAGGCTTGAATATTTACGCTAACTTTTGTAATCAGATTGCTTGGTCTCCCATACAACTTTATCTGCTTTAATATCAGTTTTTTCTATCCACTTGTTCTTTGTATGCTACTGTGAAGTGTGCCCGACCGATAGCTGCTACCTTGACGTGGTGGTCGGGCTTGCATATCACAATGACCCAACGAGCTATGCTGGTGGAACGCTTGTTCCCTCGAGGTCCTACCATACCAGAAAGGTCTGTTGGGTAGTGGTTAGACGAAAAGCAGTTACCGTCATAGTGTAAATTGCTATACTATGATGGGGGTCTGAGGGCGAAGTCGTACTGCTGCTAGCTGGATGGGGTGTGACAGCAGTAAGGTGTTTCCCTTGGATGACCAGCAGTGCCAAGCTGATGCTGCCTTCTCAGTGGAAGGGGGGGTTAGAAAAGGTCGGCCCCAAAAATAACACACTCCACCACGCCCCACGGTCTGCCGGGCCGGCGGTGTTGGTTCACTTGTCGTTTCCTTTCGCTCATCCGGCCCCAAAAATACAAAAATTCAAAATAATCATACTCAAAAGGCTGGGTGTGACAGGCCTCAAGCAGATGTCCGATGGGCTCTGCGGTCACACAAATCTCTTTCAGGTACCTTAAGAAGAAATAGCCTTCCACGGTGTGGGCAGCCGGGAAGTGTCAACCGCCCTCACAACTCTGTCAGCACCCAAGTTTCTTCTGACTGCTATCCTCCTCCTCCATCATTACCTTCTAATCTTCCTTCACGTCTCTTAATTAATGATGCTGCATCATCTTCAATTTCTCCTACCTCTGCAGCCTTCGACAACGATCTGAGTCCACAGAACAGTGTCCCTGGTCTCCTTAAACCACGCTCCAAATTACATATTGGAGCCTTCAATGTCCGCACCCTCCGTCAAATTGGCCAACAGGCTTCGTTGGCAAAGACTCTAGCAACTCGAGGCATGGATGTGTGCTGTGTTTGTGAGACACGCATACAGGACCCAAGTGTGGTTATTCACCTGACCTCTCCTGACCAATCTGGTGAATCTGCAAAATTCACCCTTCGAGTTTCTGGAGATTCGATAGCTAGCTCTCGTGGTCTTGCAGGTGTAGGTATAGCATTAAGCACCAGGGCAGAAAACTCACTACTAGACTGGATCCCAGTTGATAGTCGCCTCTGCGCTATGAGGCTGAACGGCACAGTGAGAACTAAAAGGAATAGTGAGACTCGCCGTTGTCTCTTTGTAATCTCTGCTTACGCACCCACTGACTGTAGTTCGGATGAAGTGAAGGACGAGTTCTACCATAAACTGTCTAACCTCCTCTCGAAAGCCAAACGTTCGGACGTAGTGGTTGTTGCAGGTGGGTAGACTGAGTGAGGCAGAAAGGCACTTAGGTGGCACTTTCGGAATCCCAGCTGAACGTACAGATAACGGTGATCGCCTATTACAACTATGCTCAGATAACCGCCTATTTTTAGCCAGCACAAATTTCAGACATAAAGAAAGGCACTGTCTGACCTGGCGTCCACCGAGCTCGACTCAGCGATGGACACAGATAGACCACATTGCTATTAGTCATCGCTGGAGAGGATCGGTGGAAGACTGCCGCTCCTTCTGGAGTACGTGTTTGGACAGCGATCATGCGTTGGTCCGAGCACGTATATGCCTGCGTCTCAATGGACGTAGAAAAAATTTGGCAACAAAACCACTACGAGTTCTGCTGGACAACGAAAACACCAAAGCCGTGTTCAGTGAGAAGTTGGCTAGGCAGTTATCGGAACAAAAGACTGTCACTCATCCAGAAGAAGCTTGGTGCCATCTTCAGTCTACTGTAAAAGCAGCACTGGAGACTGTAGCCGACTCCAAGATAATGGCTAAAAAGAGCCAGTGGATATCAGCAGCTTCTTCCAAACTAATGGATGCACGTGAATGCATCCCTGCAGGCTCTGAGTACAATGAAGAGCGAGCGCAACTTAAAAATAAACTGACGAAAAGTCTGCGCAACGATCGTGAACAGTGGTGGGCAGCAAAGGCTAAAGAGATGGAAAAGGCAGCGGCGATCGGTAACAGTAGACAGTTATTTAGACTTATTAAGGAGACTGGGGGGAAATGGTCAACAACAGTTAGTGAGGTTATAGCGGAGAAGGACGGATCGGCGATTCACTCGCAGGGAAGGCGACTGGGACGATGGGCAGAACACTTTGAGGAACAGTTTAACTGGCCTCCAGCCACCATTGCGCTGCCCGCTATCCAGTCGGACCCTGAATGGGACATAGAGACAGGTCCCCCAACACTAGAAGAAGTTGAGAAAGCGGTAGGTAGCCTGAAACGGGGAAGGGCAGCAGGACCAGACGGACTACCTGCTGAGGTATACAAGAATGGTGGTAGAGTTCTCTTAGTCAGGCTAACGGAAGTGTTAGCCAGTATATGGGAATCAAATACGATCCCCTCCGACTGGTCTAAGTCACTGATCATCCCAGTCTTCAAGAAAGGCGAGAAGTCCTCTTGTGATAACCACAGAGGAATCAGCCTGACAAACATAGTGTCTAAGATCCTAAGTTCTATAATTCTCCGACGCCTGAGTGGAGCTCGGGAACAGCAAGCCCGAGAAAACCAGGCAGGCTTTAGACCTGGCCGTGGATGTATCGACCAAATATTCACACTGCGCCAGGTCCTGGAACATAGGCATGCTTACAGACGCCCGACAATAGCTGTATTTCTCGACCTGAAGGCGGCATTTGACTCCGTTGATCGAGAAGTCTTATGGCAGTGTCTGTCACTGAATGCCTAGTAAGTACATCACCTTATTGAAAGCTCTCTACTCGAACACTTGTGGGCATGTTAGAGCCTATGGTGAGTTGTCCAGGGAGCTATACTCATCAAGTGGTGTCCGTCAAGGATGCCCACTATCCCCATTCTTATTTAATTTTATCATAGATATTCTTATGGAGGTTTCCCTCTCGTCACCTAATTACAAAGACGTTGACCGGATCACAGGTGAATTTTCCTTAGATCTAGAATATGCAGATGACATAGTCCTGTTAGGTGAAGACGCTGACAAGATGCAGAGTCTTCTGAACACTTTGAGTGGGAATTTGAGAATGTTTGGGATGCGATTTTCACCACCCAAATGCAAATTTTTGCTCCAGGACTGGTCTTCAGCGGTACCGCGGTTAACAATAGAGAGTGAAGTGGTTGAGTGTGTTGACCACTTCACTTACCTGGGAAGTAGGATCAACCCGGTGGGTTAGTTGCCGATGAGATTTCTGCACGGATACAAAAGGCTCGATTGGCTTTTGCCAATTTGCGCCACCTATGGCGCCGCCGTGATATTCGTTTGTCTATTAAGGGTCGCGTGTACTGCACAGCAGTCCGCTCTGTTCTACTGTATGGCTGTGAAACATGGCCATTGAAAGTGGAAGACATGAGAAGGTTACAGGTATTTGACCACCGTTGCCTTCGTAGTATAGGACGTATTCCGTGGTGTCACCATGTGAGTAATGCAGAAGTTAGGTGTAGAGTTTTAGGGAGAAGAGGTAAGTCAGTCGACGAGGTTGTGAACCTTCATCGACTGAGATGGTTGGGACACGTACTACGTATGCCTAGTCACCGATTGCCTCGTCACACAATGTTGGCTGAGGTGGGTTCAGGCTGGAAAAAGGCCCGAGGTGGCCAGACTAAAACATGGCACCAATGTATGAAGTCTCTGACTGTTGGTTTAAGCCATGTAGGACGATGCAGACTAGGTGGTTGGGGTCCACGGGACAAGAGGAACCAGTGGTTGGAGACCCTAGGTGATATGGCTCAGAACCGAAGTCAGTGGCGCAGATGTATACACACATTATCCTCATCTTAACAACGCTATACCGAATCTCACTATTTTGTCACTCCTCTTTCCTTTCTTCTCGTACTTTATATTTCTTTTGACTGCATTCACTTATCTTCATCCTTCACCTCACTACCTTTTTACTTGATGTGCTGATATGAGGTGTGGCAACTCGGACCGTTACGCAGTAATGCCTGGTCCTATGTTGATAATGATGATGATGACTGTGAAGTGTCTGGGAACTTGAACCGATGCACTTGTTTGCTTTCTACGTTGGTTTTGTTTATTTGTCTGCCAAGGTTTGATATACTACCCAGGAGGTAAACTCATGGATTAAAGTACGATCTAACCAAGCCTTGTGATTAAAAGAACATGATTAAACACCAAAGCTCAAAAATCACCAAGGTTTTATCATTCTGATTTTGATCATTTTTAGGACAGCATAGTCAAAGACTGACAGAATGCAGAGTTTTCTGAAAACATTGAACAAAATCTCAGTACTTTCAGCATGCATTTTGAACCTGTCAGATGTTAGACACCACTTGTGAATTGGTTTACAACGACTTCTAGTTTAAGGATAGGGAGAGAAACGCCAAAATATGTGCCTTTTTTAGACCTGGGAACGGCCGTTCGTTCCGTCTATATAGAATACCTAAGGTGGTTTTATGCGTTCTATCTCCTTCCGATACAAATTTTGGGATTTTATGTTCGGTATTTGCTACAGTTGTAGTTCGTCCTTGTGGAGATGATTTGCGTGTTACTGACAACTGGACTGTAATGTTGTTTTTGTGTTTGTATTGTTTTGTATTCGCAGCTAGTTTATCCTGGGACTTATTCACAGTTCTGTTCTTTTGAAAACACATGCCGTTTTGATTAATCATTATCAGAGGGATTGTGTGAAATGTTGGTAAATAGTAGTTTATAGTTGCTCATTATATATAAGTCGTAAATAACAGTTTTACGTCTCTCTTTGATTTACAGTTGTCTAAAGGCGATCGGTTGTCATATTCGTAGCTATAGATTTTTGAAAAGTGACGATCTGTTTCTGCTCAACCGAACATTAAATCTTGTTGCGAAGTTTCTTGAGTATAGTACTAAGTTACAAAAGCAACGTGATGGACTTGATAGCAGTTTTGCTGATTTGGATGACGATGAATATTGCGACCAACCTGAAGTAACATGTGATTTATCATACTGTAGAAACCCAAATCGCAATGTTACGCGTGGAGCAATTTACGGGCCTACTGGTTTTATTATTGAAGGTGATCCTGATGCTGAAGCCACTCTAAGGCTTGTATTGGAACTACAAGAGCATGACACCGAAAACCGTACATCCGATTTATCTTCTGATGATGATGTAAGAATTCTATTTCTATGCGTTAATTACTTCGTATTATAAGATATTTGCTGATCATAACGATTTAGTCGGATGTGACATTTTGAAAGTAGTATTGCCGCGATATTTTTTCGCGTTGTTAGCAGAAATAGTGGAAAAAGCTTCTGTTCCTCCGCGTTACTTTATCTCTGATAATAATATATGCGTAATTGTAGTTTTGCTTTTCAGTAATCAAAATTGTTTAGTGTCCGGTAAAGATCACTTGGCTTCAGAGGTTGTTATGGTTTGGGATTTTAAAAAGCATACTGCATAAAGATATCTACATCTGTTTGAAGTGTTTTTGCTGCATTTGTTTATCTGCGGGATTTCTCACTATAAAGATTATTATTTTTATTTATTATTAGTCCCTTGGGTTCCTAGTGGAACATAGGGCTTCCGTAGCACGCCTCCAGTGAACTCTGTTCTCTGAGATCGTTTGAACCTGGTCCCACGACAGCCCAGAAGCTCTCATTTCCTGCTCGCACGACCTCCTCCATGTCACCCTCGGACGTCCAACTCGTCGCTTCCCATGGGGATTCCACTCGAGGGCCTGGCGCGTGATGTCCTCAGTCGGCCTTCTCAGTGCATGGCCAATCCATCTCCACTTCCTCCTGCATATTTGTTGCGTGATAGGTTCTTGGTTGGTTCGTTCCCAGAGTTCCTTGTTGCTTATTTTTTCTGGCCATCTGATCATCAGCAGCGAGCGTAAGCAGTTGTTGATGAATGTCTGTAGTTTATTGGAAATACCTTTCGTGACGCGCCAAGTCTCTGAGCCATACAAGAGCACTGACTTGACGTTGGTGTTGAAAATCTGGATCTTGTTCCGCATGCTGAGTGCAGAAGATCTCCACACTGGTTTCAGGCTAATGAATGCCTGGTTAACTAGTTTACTAGTTACTAGCCGGTCCTAAGCCCGGGTAAAGAGGGGAAGGTTGGGCATAGGGCTAGCAACCCTACCCCGTAAAACAAATCTAACCGCTAAAGAAACTTCAAAGCACAAACAAAATATAAAAAATGAAAACAAACTTATTCCCCGCTGGAATCGGAGAGGCGAAATGACACTATAAAGATACATGCAATTAATTTCAAATAATGCAAATTAACCCACTACAGGTTTTCTAAAACTTGACTGTCAGCCACACTTATTGTTTAAGAGTTTATGATATCACGTGATTACCCAAACGGAAGTAGTTGAAGCTGGATTTGAATGCGTCGTCCATTACCTAAAAGTCAAGTAATGAAGCCACTCAGATGTATTCTCAACAACGGTCAAAAAGATAGGTCTTTACTGACGGTTACCAGATGAATGTTTTGTTGATGCGATAAGCTATCTAAGTTGATGAGTAATAAACTCAGCCGTATGTGTCCGTATCAGGAATTTGTTATATTGAAAAGATCTTATCCTGTAATCTCTCTTTTTATAGGGAGATGTGACTAGATAGCTAGTGGATTGAAATATCAACAGATCCTTCTGCCATCGGTATAAGTGAGCGTAAAACTTGATTTGATCGAAACTGCAATTTGATCCGCAGTCTGTTCTTGTAGCTAAGCTTGTAGAGAAGTGGGTTAGTAGTCTGATGACTGCCGGTTGAAAACTGAATTATTTTTCAGCCCCGTTTTAATCGTCTCTGTATGGTGTCATAGCCTGCCGAAAAGAAATTATAGGTTATGAAGTTGTTTTAAAAAGATTATTTTCTGGTTATTCTTCATTTTGACGCATGTATTTATGTCATATCCCACTAATTATATATTTTTCGTAGTTCTAATTTAACCCATTTATTTTTAGGAATCTGAACTGTTTGAAGATTTCGAAAAATTTACATTGAACAGAATGCCTTCTGTTAGTTACCCTCCATCCCATCGATATCATAGTAGTATTCAACGCAGTCAAAGCGCTCACTACCCTTCAACTGTTAAGTCTCTTGTAATACCTCGATATCCTCCCGTTGTTCATTCCTTTGAACTGGATTTTAATGCTGAAGTTGATGACGTACGTGGTTTTGTTTATGGTACTGGAGGTGCGTTATTGACAACAATTAGCCGGGTGGTACGTCAGTTAAAAGAACTCCGGCGTCTTCGACTAGTTGACCTTTTCCTCGTATCTGATGATGCCAGACGTTTGGTTTGTGAACTGAGCGGTGTAAGTTTCAAGTGTTATTACTATGTCCTTCAGTCACCTAAGTTTACTACTTTTTTTTCACCTATAGTTTGTGTAAAACCCATGTCCTCGTGAAAACACTTTTGTAAGTTGCTGCTTCTTCCTAAATTCAGCTGTTTGGCATTTCGGTTATCCTACAGATGGAAAATGTTTTATTTTTTCAGTTTAATATTCTAAAGCTCCAGCTGGGGTATAAGAAACTATGGTTCTATAGTTTACTAAAAGTGTTGTAAAATTACGACACATTGACAGCTTCTTTTATTCTGTCTATCTATTCGTTGACTGTAACTCAGCATAAACAGGCAATTGTATCAGCATCTGTCAAAAAACAGTGCACAGTTCTGGCTCAGTTAAGCTGGTTCATGTTGTTTTGTTATATAGTTTGGCATGATTCATAATTACGTATTAGATATGGCTAACGCATCACTGTGTAAGCCCACACTTAGTTATCTAAGTTTTCGCTGGTTGTCTTTACTGTTAAGTCTGTTGACATACAAGTAAGAGATTTCAGGTGATTATTTAGTCTCCAGGCGAACCATGATTTTGTGGTGAATATTTTTGTTCTGGGTGCTTAGTCATTACAAGTGAAAACGTTTTTCAGCTTGAAAGTCGATTACATCAATACTTTCTAAGATTTAATTGTTTTATGAGAATAGTCACTCATTCAGAATGATATTCTGGAACCTAGCGAACAAACGTTTACCAGATCGGTTAGTGAAATAGAATAATGGATGCTTTTATGATCTCAAACGACATCACAGACTTCACATATATCCCTTGGTGGTATTATTTTACAATATAGTCCATTGTGAATAAAATGCGTTTGATTTTGTTACATGCATACTGTGCTGCATTAACTGGCTCGGGAAAGGTTCAGGAAAGACACCAAGAGAATGTAAGCTTCAGCATGGTTTTACAGATAGAGAGTATTTATGTTGCAGTGGCTAAAGGTATTATTACATATGAAAAAACCGAGCTTAGATCTTAAACATCTTTGTTTATATTCGTCATATATGCTGTGAAATGTCTACTAGTTACTTTTAACATCGGCTATGTAAACTGGGTTAGTTGTCTCTTTGAATACAGAAAAACACAGAAAACAACTTCAGCGAAAACTTCTCTCATTCGTCTTGGTAAGTCTGAGGGGAAAACGCAAGAGCTTGTCCGTCAGACTTGCGTAAGCGATTGAAAAAATATCTTTTCGCTGCAATCATTTGTGTTTTCCATATGTTCGAATGGGATTATTTCGATATTTGAAGAACAGCAAGGACTCTTCCATTATTTCTTACGTAACTGTCTGATGTATATACAATCTTCATGGGTTAAGTATTCTTGTTGTTACTGGCATCCTTTGCTTTACGTAGCCAACTTTGAGTAAGGATGTGTAGGATTGTAACTCTACTCCACCCCACTAGGGTTTGAGCAGTTAGTTGGCAACACATCCTTCCAAAATGGGGCTTGTCCATTGCCGAGCTAACGAACTTGCATCTAGCTGCTGATTTATGTGTAGTTGAAATAAATATTTCGGATGTTTATCTCTGGGTGCTTCTTGAAGTCGAGCCCAGGATCTTCAATCCCTTTCAGGCCATTTTTGTTTCTTAAACAGTAGACCAATTTCTTGTGGTCAACAGTGAAAACACTTCTTGTTCTTATGTAGCACTACTGGCCATTATCTATGATGTATGTTATTGTCGATATAGAGCAGGTGGTTATCTCTAGGAGACACTATTTCTCATTTTTGACTCAAAACAATTAGTTTGTATAGTGAACTAATTTTAAAGGATTCATTGGGGGTGCCCACTTAGTTTGAAGGAAAAAAAGTAACTGTTTTGTGCCCCAGTATTCTTCAGTTGACTGACTAATTTTATTTATTGATTGATCGAACAAACGGTGTTTCATCTGTCATGTCATGCTCACTAGACGAGGATTAAAAAGGGAATTAACAAATATGTATTAGTTCGTTAAATGGATTTTGATACGAACATTTCGTATGATGGCCAGTTATGCTATATGACTCCCAAAGCCGTAAAAGTTGTAGAGAAAGTTTTGAGGCCATAACTCATTGCCCACAGTTGAGATGCAGGAATCTGTGAATAAAGATTCTACAAAAATAGGTTGCAATTCATTGTATTTTTGTAACCGAATAATTTAGTGATTTTTTTTTGTTCAGGTTGTTTCGTCATGTCTAACTGATCTCAATCTTGTTCATTTCCATAAACTGTCAACTAATGCAGTGTCAGGATACCTTCGTGATCATGCACCAGACTTCTCCAGTTTAGCCTTAAATGAACATCAAAATGATAACAATCCTTCATGCAGTTATGATCTTGAACATTCTGATGATAAAGACTGGTATCTTTTAGATTCCCGTTGGCTCAGTGCTCGACCTCTTCGAATAATTGATAATCCTTTGTGCGATTTAGCTAATCTTTTTCCAAAGATAATACGTCTTACTTTGAGTCCAACTCAGCTAACCGGTCCAACCCTTCTTCGACTTTTGTATCAAACTCCGTTAGCAGAATTAGTTTTAATTCAGGTTAGTTTCTATCAGTTTACAGTTGTGTTTTGAAACGAATTATTCTCTCCTCTTGATTCAATTAGCAGCTGTTCGTATTGTATTTCATTTGTGTGCAATTTATGCAGACAAATTCAAAAGGGAAGATTTTTCTGGTGATCAAGTTTTCACTTTTTTTGAGAAATTTGTCTAATTTAGGAAAATGTTGCAACCGGAAGGAACGATTTTAAAGCAAAGTTGAAAAGAACAAAAAAGACTGACATTTTCATGCATTTGCTTTCCTTGTTACGTTTGAACAAAGCAATAACAAAGACATTTGAAAAATAAATTGCGCGCATTTCATTTCTTGGCTTCTCATCAGCTACGAACGGTCTAAAATCACAAAAATTATCATGACCAACAAATATATGTTTTGAGCATCAACTAATTTCATAGTTCACAGGACACCAACAGATCAAAGAAATAAAATAACAATAAAATAATGAAAATCAGGGTTTAATCACTCAAGCCATACGCACATACTATGGGGTGCTGGAGTCAGGAGGATTTACATAGCAAACTCACGTATTTGAAGGTTAATTAATCTCAACCAGTGAATGAATATCATAAGGCGAATATGAAAAAAAGAATAGAGATTACCTAAAAATGGTAAAACAAGGTTACCATTGTCATGTAAGGTTAATCACACCATATTTCTTTACACAGGGGTCAGGTCATTAGTGTTTAATCGTAGTCCCTTCTGCAAAATGAAGTAGACTGTTTGTTCTCTGTATTATGGGTGATTTTGAAGGCGTGATATACCGTAATCATATGCCATGCGTCCATTAGGTGTGCGTGAAAATGTTCTTCTCTTTGAGGCATAAACTTTTATCGGCATGCTAAGGAAATCCAGTGGTTGCCCTCTTCTCAATACTTGTTGATTATGATCACTCTTGTGATTTAGGGCTGTTTGAAACTGATGAAAAGCTGTGAAATAAAAGTTGATAATTGTTTCGTATTCTCTTATTTTTTTTGTTATTCAATTTCAGGTGTTGCATCAACAAACTTAGCAGTTTGATTAATAATACTATTAGATCTAGATGTTATGTCTCGATTAGGTACATTTGGCCATCATCATATATTTACTCTTCCAAATTTCCGTTTGTTCATGTTTATTGGCTTGTAAAACTTATTAAACACACATCTTCCTGTCATATAGTTGTTACCTTGATGCGGTGGTCGGGCTTGCATATTACAATGACCCATACGATCTATGTTGGTGAAACGCTTGTCCCCTCGAGGTCCTACCATACCAGAAAGGTCTGTCGGATAAAAGGTAGTTACGGTTATGCTGTAAATGTTACACTTTGGTAGGGGTCTGAGGGCGAAGTCTTACTGCCGGTTGGACAGGAGTGTGACAGCGATACGGTGTTTCTCTTGCGTGAAAAGCAGGGCCACGGTGACGCTGACTTCCCTATGGGAAGAGGGGTTGGAAAAGGTCGGTCCAAAAAGTGCCACACCTCCATTACCCTGCAGCATACCCTCTACGGTGTGGGCAACCAAGGAGTGTCAACCGCCCTCAGCTCTGTCAGCACTCAAGTTCCGACAAATCACTGTCCACCTTTCACATCATTACCTTCTAATTTTCATTCACATCTTTCGATAAATAATCCAACATCATCTGTGATTTGTTCCAGATCTGCAGCTCTCAAGACCGGTCTGGGTTCACAGAACAACACCCATGGTCTCCTGAAACCGCGCTCCAAATTACATATTGGAACCTTCAGTGTCCACACCCTCCGTCAAATCTGCTAACCAGCTTCGCTAGCTAGCATCTAGCATCTCGGGCCATGGATGTGTACTGTACCTGTGAGACACATATAGGGCACCAAAGTGTGATTATTCACTTAACCTCACTCGGACGATATGGTGGATCCGCAAAATTCCACCTCCGACTGTCTGGAGATTCGATGGCCGATTATCGCGGTCTTACAGGGAAAGGTATAGCATTAAGTGCTAAGGTAAAAAATCCACTGCTCGATTATATCCTAGTTGACAGTTGCTCATGCACCGTTTGACTGAACGGCATTGTATGTACTAAATAAAATAGTGAAACTCACCGTTGTCTGTTTGTAGTATCTGCTTACGTACCCACTGACTGCAGTTCGGATGAAGTGAAGGATGAGTTCCGCTGGAAACTGTCTAGCCTCCTACTGAAGGCCAAACGCTAAGATGTGATAGTTGTTGCGGGTGATTTCAATGAACAGGTGGGTGCGTTTCTCAGCAGCCAAATGCAAACTGTTGCTCCAGGACTGTTCTCCAGCATCGCCCTGGTTAACAATTGAGAGTGAAGTGGTTGAGTGCGTTGAACATTTCATTTACCTGGGAAGTCGGATCAACTCTAGTGATACAGTGACCGATGAAATCTCTGCACGAATACGAAAGAGTCGGTTGGCTTTTTCCAGCTTACACCATCTGTGGCGCCGCCGCAATATCCGATTGTCTATTAAGAGCCGAGTATACTATGCAGTTCGATCTGTTCTGTGTGGCTGTGAAACAAGGCCAGTAAAGGTAGAAGACATGAGAATGCTTCAAGTGTTTGACCACTGTTGGCTTCGTAGTGTACGCCTTGTTTCGTGGTGTCACCACATAAGTAACGCAGAAGTCAACCATATAGTTTTAGGGAGGAGAGGTAAGACAGTTGACGCTGTTGTGAAATTTCATCGACTGAGATGGTTTGGACGTGTGTAACTTACGCCTGGTTGCCATCTGCTACGTCGCACATTGTTGGTCGAAGTAGGTTCAGGCTGGAAAAAGGCTTAGGGTGGCCAGATTAAAACATGGTGCCAATGCATAAAGTCCTTGACTGTTCATTTGAGCCATGTGGGGCGATGGAGGATAGCCGGTTGGGTTATAAATGACAAAATACACTGCTGGTTGGAGACTCTAGGTGGTATGGCTCAGAATCGATGTCAGTGGGGCAGATGTATTCACACATTATCTTAATCTTAGCCACTATGCTGAATTCAGCCATTTCTCAATCCTTCTTCCTTTCTATTACTACTTTGGACTGCTTCTGACCGATTTTTCTTCCTTTCCTAATCTTTCATTTTATTGCTGTGTACTTGATATGTTGGAATGAGGGGTGGCAACATGAACAGTTACACAGTAATGCCTGGTCCTATGCTGATATTGATGATGGTGATGAAATATACGCCTTGATATTACGTATACTTGTTGAAAGCAGAAACTTGCTGCATCATCAGCAGCAAGAAATCATCCTCTCAAATAAATATCAAAATACAATGTGACTACCCAAACCATAGCGTAAGTCAAATTTGGAGGTTCAAAAATTTCTGTCCAAGCGGTCAGTGAAAAGAACTTGATTTCCATTTAGGCCAATTCCTATTGAATTCTGGGTCATTTGTTAGCGCCTTGAGCCACTGAGTTGTATGTGTTGTCGAATCCCTTCCAGGTATTTTCAATACACCAAAGGATACTAACCCATCAGAAGTATCCGCATGGTGCCATATATACTTCGTTCACTATCTCTACTCTCATTACATCCAGTCCTTCGGTTAGCAAAAGGTGAACCGTATGAAAGCATCTGAGATGACATTTGTAATATATAAAGTGAGTGATCCAAGATTATATTGCGTCCAAATATGTGCTGCCGTAGTAAACAGTGCCGAATGCACATTCTGGATTCTACTGCTAGCCCTTTCAAGGTAATTTATGTCTAAATGAAAGTTAAAGTAGCAACAAGGATGAGGATATCTGACGACCGTCTGTTCAGTCACTATTTTCTTCGAAGGGTAGCTGTTGGAACTGAAATTTATTCGCATAATGCTTCGATTGAATGCTAGCCATCCTTCGAAGAAAGTGGTGACTGAACATGCAGTCACCAGATATCCTCATCGTTGCTGCTACTTAATCTTTCATTTAGATATAAATTGCTTTGGAAGGGCCAACAGTAGAATCCGGAATGTGCCTTCTGTGGTGTTCACTACGTAGACTGTTTAATTTGCACCCCGAGAAAATGATATTCCTCACACATATAGTTTCAAACACTACAGCGTTATCGGCTGATTGAACAGATGGAAAAAGTCAACTTTGAATCTCATTAGTTGAAGTTGTCACACTTCAGTAGCATAAGAAGAGCAAGTGGATAGAAAAAGACTGATGTCAAAGTAAACAAAAGTGTATGGGAGGAGAGGGGATTTAATAATGAGAGTTAGTCAAGATATTCGTGACCCAATGGTTAATAGTCATTCTTACGAAACCACTGATCCACAGCTCCGCTTGTTCACTAAACAGTGGGTCAAATCTATTACTTGATAGCTTATGCTATTACTTGGTTGCCCATACTTTTGGTAGCTAGAGTGGAGTGTATATCCGTGACCCACTGGTTAAATCCAACCACCTATTTAAAGGACCATAGCTGCGCTACATTTCTATAATGATTTAAACAGTGGTCTGCAAAGAAAAATGTCTTCACCCGTGGTAAAAATGTTAGTAGATAAAACAGTTTTGTGTAAAAACTTAGTTATTGTTTTCATAATTCCATCAAACTTTTGTGAAGGATTGATTGTTTTTTTTTGCTGATAAATTTTTTCCCAGATTTTTTCCAACTAGTGGATTTGATAAGTGACGGAAAGCTTAAATTCTGTGCATCGTTTCATTTTTTAGACTGATTTAACCGTATTCACCATACCTCGTTCTGGAAATCCTCCTCCTATACAACGAACGGTTTCATATGATTCTGATGACTTAGGTGTAGGATTCAACGAAGATCATGCTTTTGATCCCAGTGATTCCAGTATGTCGGACCTAATTGACTGGACTGAAGATGTCCCACATATTCGAAGATATCGTACTAACCAAGAGTCATTTGGATGGAGGCCTATACTTACAAATATGTGGCGTGCAGCACTTGTCCTTCGTCCACATTTAAAGGTTCATTTGAGGCTGCAGTTGGTTGAAGATTTAACTTGTGCACGTTGGAGAAGCTCTTCATCAGAAGATAAATTAAATTCAATACAAAACTTACTTTCATATTGGCCTCTACCTCCTGCACCAGTTACCTCAATCACATTGATTATAAATGGGGAACCTGCATTTATAGCTAATTTAATTAGCCCATGCAATCCAATCAATCCTATATCGTATTTGCAATCACTTACATCGTTGATAATAGTATTAGAGGTATGAAAATTTAATACATTATTTAATCTTCACGCTTATAGACCTTCATTTTATTGACAAATTTACTTTCAGCTATTCATCTGGTTACTTTTCTATAGGATATGAGTTATAAATGTTGGCTACATATATTTGAATCCAAAATTCCTTGCTATTCTACTTGATCGAACTGTGAACACTAGTTGGCGTGTACCACTTTCTTATGGGTCGCATCCTGCTTTGTAACAGTGCTCTCCAAATCCGGGTGTTAGTGGTTAGATGCTTCAAAATCAGTCAAGGACTCATCTCATCTGCTATGTCACTTCGGTACAGCTTATATATCATGATGAGGTGCTCTCAGATACCTATACGTTTGTAGCGTGCATCCACCAGGAAAGTTCTACTCTCTAATTTCGCTTAGTGGAGGTGTCTTAACACAAGTGATAGGACGAAATTGAATAACCAGATAATTTGATACACATGGTCTATTTAGAGGGGTTAGATACTCATGACTCCCATCAATGGTACACATACAATTAGGATCCTGAGCGAAAGAATGGTTTACGAAAGTAATTTGGTCACTTGCAACAATGGGTCTACAGCAACTAACGTTAATTTGCTACTTTGTGGATCAGACTTCAACTCTAAGACTCGGGAGGCAGTCCCCCAAGACAACTATCTGACTGTCTGAAAGTGGGAAGTACAGCAGTCTGCATAAAGTGACATAGATAATGAATACTGCAATGCTCTACTCGTACGTTCTTGCAGGAAATCATACTTACTCAGTTAGTCATTATAAACATGGCATCTGCTCTTACTACTTGATGGTTCAAATAGCCACGCTTCACATCGTTATATCAAGGTAGAAGGCAATCAGTTGAAAGGTAGAGAAACAAATACAAAAGTAGTAAGTGGTAGAAAGTCATGAAAAGAGAACAAGAAGTAATGGAATAATATTGCAATTCGATATGAAGACGAAGAGGACAATAATGTATAGACGCGTATACATGATTGAGGTTGACTTAGGCTTCTATCACTTAGAGTCTGTAACCGTTATCACTCAGACCATAAATAGGATATGTAGGTCTTCATTCTCTATGGCTGAGCCCAGCGGTCAAACAAACCATGGACTGATGCCATGTTTCAGCGTGGCCACATAAACTTTTTCCAACCTAAAACTAATTCAGCTTGTATCGTGCAATACGTTGTACTGTGACTAGATATGCCTAACCCATGTTCCAGCCATCTAAGTCAATGTGGGCTCACAACATCATCAGGTGACTTTCCTTTTCTATATAAACCCACCTCTCCATCTGTTTACACCTTCCTGGTGTTAGGAAACAGGTGGTAGTGAAGCTTGTTTGTGTTCGACTGAAAGATGATGAGGTGGTTAATTGTGTATTTATAAAGGCTGTGGCTAGACACTTATCTGAACATGACAGCGATTCTGATCTTGATGAAGCCTGCTGCGATATTCAGTCAGGTGTAGAAACAGTGGCGAAGCCTGACTGGCAGCTACTACCTTGATATGGTGGTCGGGCTTGGATAACACAATGACCTGACAACCAATGCCGGTCAAACGCTTGTTCCCTCAAGGTTCTACCTTATCAGAAAGGTCTCCTGGATGAAAGGGATTTACCATTACTGTATAAATTATTCCCTTGGGTTCCTAGTGGAACATACGGCTTCAGTAGCATGTCGCCATTTCACTCTGTTCTCTGCAGTCCTTCGAACCTCGCTCCTCGACTGCCCAGAAGCTTTCATTTCCTCCTCGCACGATCTCCATGTCACCCTCGGACGTCCAACTCGTCGTTTCCCCTTTGGGTTCCACATGACGGCCTTGCCTGGCGCGTGATATCCTTAATTGGCCTTCTCAGTGTATGCCCAATCCAATCCATCTCCACTTTCTTCTGCATATTTGTTGGGCGATAGGGTATTGGTTGGTTCCTTGCCAGCCAGAGTTCCTTGTTGCTCATTCTTATTATTCTGGCCATCTGATCTTCAGTATCGAGTGAGCGTAAGCGGCATCTGTTGATGTGATGTATGTCCGTAGTTTGTTGGCAGTGCTTTTCGTAACGCGCCAAGTTTCTGAACCGTATAGAAGCACTGACTTGACTGAATTAGAGTTGAAAATCCGGATCTTGTTCACGCTTTATGCTGAGTGGAGTGGTGTATATCTCCACTCTGATTTCAGACTAATGAAGGCCTGTCTTGCTGTCTTTCCGATCCTTGCTTTGACGTTCTCATGTGTGCCGCCACCTGTAGTTGAAATGATGCTGCCTAGGTGGTAGGTGAAAGAGACTACTTCCTTTAGGTTTCTCCCGTTGATGGTGATTGGTTCTTGTTGTTTTTGTTGGTGGTGTTGGTTGGGTATCTCCATCAACTCTGTCTTCCCTGCGTTCACTTGAAGTCCCGTCTTCGTTGCCTTGTCTCTTCTGTCAACTTGTTGGTCCTCTCATGTAGATCTTCGAGCTTGTGCCACATTAGACATAAATCATCATAGGCGAAATCCAAATCTTCTTCTAGGATCTTTTCATCGATCCAGCCAGCGTATGCCCATCTTCTCACAGCTCCTCTCAGTTTCTTGCATGATCCAGTCCAGTGGACCACAATCAGGGAGATCACCGATGATAGTAGGTGACAACCTTGTCTTACTCCTGTCTTCACTTCAAACGCATCACCCCGAGCTTTCCATTGTGGATCACTTGGCATGCGGCGTTTTCATATAGCTGTTGAATGAGGTTGATAAAGGTTTGTCGCACTAAAACCGTAGTGCTGAAGCAGCAGGTGCCAAATACTTCTCGGTCGACGCTATCGAAGGCCTTTTCAAAATCGATGAAGTTGAGGTGAAGAGTTGATTGCCATTCTATGCTCTATTCTATGATGATGCGTGGTGTGGCGTTGTTAATTGGTCCGCATATGATTTGTTCTTCCTGAAGCCAGACAGCCTATTCCTGTCGTAATTTCGAATCCAGAGAATCTTTTAGTCTCTCCAGTATGATGCGGCCTAATATTTTGCTTGGGGTGGACAGGGGCATGATTCCCCGCCAGTTCTTGCAAAGACTTAGGTCGCCCTTGTTTGGGAGTGTGACAAGGTAGCCCTTCTCCCACTCGACAGGTACCCTTCCTTCCTTCCTTTCTTGCAAACCGTCTGCAATAGTGGTGTGGGCGTGTCCGCTGTTATCTTTGTGTCTGTTTTCAGTGCTTCTGGCGGAATTCCACCTGGTCCTGCTGCTTTCCTGGATTTCAGCAACTTTATGGTATTCAACACTTCGGCTTTTGTCAGAGGGTTTATGTTCACTGATAGTTCTACGGCTGGGTTGCTGGTGGTATTTCTGGACGAGTTGCAGGTGGTGGTGGTGGTGGTCGATTCAAGAGTTTTTCGAAGTGGTCAGCCCGTTGTTTCCTTTGTTTCTCCTTTTCAGTGACTAGATTTCTTTCACTGTATTTCATTGGTTTTATCTGTGTTGATCTCTTCCCAGATAGTAATCTGGTTATTTGATATCGTGTTGTCAGGTCTCTCCTGCCGCCAGCCCGTTCTGTTTCACTTGCCAGTGTGTCGCAGAAGTGTCTTTTGTCTTTGAGCGCACTCTTCTTCACTTCTTTGTCCAGTGTTTTATACGTTGTACTCATTTCTTCTTTTCGTTGTTCATCCTTGCACTGGTTTATCTGCTTCACCATCTTCCCCTCCCTCCTCTATCAGCTTCCATGTGTCCGTCGAGATCCATTCCTTGTCTCGTTTCTTCTTCCTTCCTACCACGGTTATGAGGATTTCTGCCCACATCTCTTTCAAAGAGTTCCAGTGTTCTTCCACGCATGTTTCTTCATGGATGTTGTTCAATGTCTCCCATTTTGTCTTGATGGCTGACGTGAAGATGTCCTCTGTAGTTTCGTCCTTCAGTTTCTGTTCTGCATGTCTGTCACCAGCCTCTTTGGCTGCTTCCAACTTGATTTCGATGGTTCCTTGCACTGGACAGTGAGTGGTGTAAGCCTACATCTGCTCCCCTTCTTGATATTGTGTCGAGTAGGTTGGGTCTTCACTTTCTTGAGATTGAGATGAAGTCAATCTGATTTTCAGTGTGTCCTGGCGTCTGGTGAAATCCATGTCGCTTTGTTAATGGCCTTTTGTTTGTACACACGCCTCCAATCACCAAATAGTTGAATGCGCAGAATCCTGCAAACAGTTCTTCATCGTCTTTCATCATTTCACCGAGTGCATCTCGACCCATGATTAGTTCTCTTCCTGTGTTGTCTAGTCCTAGTTTGGCATTCATAACACTCACTAGAATGGATTTTGAATGTTTCCAACTGGAGTCTTGTCCAGTGCTGATTCCTCCTTCTTCTCTTCATTTGCATTTTTTGTGGGTGCGTCGCGTAGCAGTGTCTGATTGTGACTTTCCTTACTTTTGAGTTGACTCTTGTTGTCCTGATCCTAATGCTGGAGGTGATTGGCTCCCACTGCATGAGAGCCATAGATGTTCTTTGAGACATCATACTAGCCACTCGAAAAACATTCCACAAAAGGCCGTGTATGACAGGCGTCAAGCAGATGTCCCATTGGCCGAACGGTCACAAAAATCATCTTCTCTTCCAGGTAGGTACCTTAAGAAGAAATAGCCTTCGATATTGTGGACAGCCAGGAGGAGTCAACCACCTGGACGGTTCCAGTAGGATAAAAGACACAATGAAACATAACTCATCCTCCTTTTCCTTCACCTCCTGGGACTAACATTAAGCTTCTTACATCTTATCCAACCTCTGACTCTGCAACCATTGTCAACGACTGAAGGCATTGGAACCTCATTCGTAGTCTCCTAAGACCCCGATGTTGGTTTCATGTTGGAAGTTTCAACATCCGAACTCTATGCCGAATTGGACAGCGAGGATCACTGGTGAGACCTCTTTGATCTCTAGTCATGAATGCATGCTGTATCTCTGAGACACATATACAGGAGTCGAGTATGGTTATTAGATCGGTCTCATCTGGTCGTAGTAGTGGATCTTCAAAATTCACCTTAAGAGTA